GCCTTTTTGAAATGTCGTGTAATCTATTTGATTCTCGGCTACAAATGAAATGGCGACGGAGAGCTTTCGTGAAGGTATACTTCAGTTTAATTATCAAATCCATTACAGTTCTTGGTCCGATTGACCAACTAACTATTCAATTAATTAATCTTTATGGAAGGTATTTGTTGAGATAAAATTTAGAGATAAAGTTTAGTTCGTTATTTTTTGCATAATCATTTTATTTTTGGTAATTAAATTTTAAGGATAATAGATTAAATATAACAACTTTTTGTTTCCTTTGGTAAATTTACGAAACATTAAAAAGTGTACTAAAAATTACTAACTAAACAATTGGTAAATGACTATAAATATGATTTTTTAAATTATTATTTTGAGTAAATTTTATATCCTACACGTTGCCGTTTATAAATAAATTTTCCGTTTTTTACAAAAAATAAATTATAATTTTTTATAATTACCCATGAATCTATATCAAATTTTGTGGTCACCTTTAGGTACAAGATTTTCTTAACTTTTTGATCAATTTTATTATTTTCACTTTATTGTTGCTTAAATGTACGATTGTTCTTCAATTTTTACATTAAGTATGTACATGTTTTTATCGAATCTCGTTAACTTGAGATTAGCATTGATAATTTGTAATCTCCCTACGCCCAAAATCTGTATAATTTCATAATTAACTCGCTGCGCTATCTATAAGGAACTATTGGGATTATACCGTATATATCAAACTGTTTTCCCTTAGTCAAATGTTCGGGTAACACTGTCGGCAACACTGACTCCGATAAGAAAGGTTATTTACTTTAGAACGTCCTTTTATGAGATGTAACACACTATGTAATTTATTATCAATCAATTTTGTATTAGACAAAATCTGTCTATGATGATTTAACCTTTAAAAGATGCAAAGAAAATAAACAGTTAATTATACTGTGTTGTAAAATCTAATATGTTTCCCTTAATTTTTCACTAGAAAAATTTAACAGAAAGGTTTTTTTCCGTTGTTAACGAATAATAACTGAAGTAAAATTAATAAATAATTCGCCTCTAAATATTTTAAGGATTGGTGCCTTAAAAATGAAGATAATTTTCGTATATACAATCATCTTTCTAAGATCTAAAATAACAAATAAAACGTTTTTATTATCCATTTTAATTTATCATTATTTTCCGTCGTTTATTTTCTCTGTTAAAAGTCTCTTTAAGTAAAGTTGTTCTATTGTTTGAGCGGCGATCAAGAGCTTCTTAGAGACTCGGCAAACCCTCTCAAAAAGCGGCAAACAACCCAAACCCGAACACATCTCCTATCTAAAACGTCCCGAAAAACTTCTTTCGGATTTTCTTCTTGCGGAAACTTCTTCCTCCGGGAAAAGCGTAAAGTAGAAATCCGGGTTGGGGGAAAAATCAACCGCCCCTACCGACTCACCACTTGCCAATCGCGGCTTCCGTACAAAGGGGAAACTTGTCCTCCGGGTCAGCCTCACCCCCGATGACGGCCGGGGTGTTTTGAAAGGGTGAAAGGGGCGTTCTCGGAGTTGTTGGGGCGAAACTATTCGGGAACGAAGACACGACCAATAATGTACCCTTTACTACGGTCCGAAACCAATTTCTGGGCAGAGCAGGGTATTAAACAACCGAAACTGCCCATGAAATCAACACAACGGTCATCCCCTCGATTCGCTTCGAATTCTAAATTGAATTAAAGCTGTCGACACCACTTACCATGACCATTTACAAACAGTATTAAAATTTTCCGAAAGTTGCATTTTCCAACACTTATTCCAACATATTTTTGAAGATTACCAGGTCGCATAAAAAAATGAATGCAAATGCGGAAACTCGTACAAATCGTTTGACGCAAAATAAAGTACTTTAACCTCAAAAGAAACCAACAAAATAAAATAAAAAACCCACGGTTTAATCCTATCACAAAACTTTACACAGCGTCATATTTTTGCATGCATAAATTAATCATATAAAATACATAATTCTACAAGTTAGAAAGAAAGTAATTTTCCATCAGTTAAACGTTGAGATTACATTTCACCAAACAGAAAACTCAGTTTTCATACGGTATATAAACACCCTCATGACATGGGGCAGTACAAGAATAACGTAGTAAGGTAGAGAAATTACCCCTATAGCAGAAACAAAGGAGATCCCGTCCTGGTGCAGCATCAGCACGCAACTCATATTTCATAACCGATTTCTGGTGTTTTAAAGGTTTCTTTCGTCAAAATATATGTAAGTTAAGTATGTTAAACTACTCAGCCAACGAGGTCCCATATGTATGATTATCACGTATGCAATTTCCTCATTTCCAAAATTAAATCAGTAAGAAAAAACGACAAATTATGAATGTTTGTTTTTGAATTTTGAATTTTAAATTTAAAATCATCCAAAAATTGAAATCTCCTTAAATCTTTATTACAACTAATACACGTAAAACAATTTGTGTTTGGATATGTTAAAATATTCATTCTACAGCATACCACGAGCATCATCAAACTAAAAATCCAGATCATCAGCTTCTTCGATAAAGTTCCCAACTAGTTTCACCAAGTAATTTGATTTGATCTACGATAATAAATTCAAAATTGTTGAATATTAAACAATTTCGTTAATTAGAAATAAAAACAATCATCTTCTCAAATGTATATTTTTTCAGAAACGGTTATCGGTTGATTAGTATCTTCAGTGGTCCTGTCAGTATTTTTTATTAAATCAAGATAAAGTTATTTTTTAATGCATTTTCGGTCCCATATTTCTATTCGAAATTGTTTACATACTTCCATGCTTACATTGTTTACATGGGTTTTTATGGTAAATTTTAATAATGAAAATAAATTGCATTTTAATTTTAATATTTTAACATTTTAATAGTATTTTTATTAATAATTAATTGAGTAAATTGCATTTTTTTCTTGAAAGCGTTCGGTCTCTACTCCAAAATCCAAAAACCTGTTCGACGTTTAAATCCGTAATAATTAATATTAATTAACGATTTCTATAAATGTCAAGTATGCAAAGAATTCTAAAGGAACTAGGATTCAAGTAGCTTATTACGGTATATTTTCATGGATCTAATCAGATTGTAATTTCGATTACATAAAATTTATTAGAAAGCCGTAAAAATATATTTTTTTAGGTTTTTTTCCACTCTAACATGTATCGATTAAACCTGTATTTGTCGTAATTATTGATACAGTTATATTGTGCGTCATTATGGCTTGCGTAAGTTGCCAAATATTTACACATATTTATTTTTAGAAATTCATAAAAATAAGTAAACATTCAGCACAAAAAAAAGTGTGTAAATACATATTTAATTTCTGTTTAAAAATCTCCTTATTAGTTTGAAAATATAATAACAAACAAAACATTTCTCAAAAAAATTGGTTTAACTTTTTTTTTATATACACTTTACTTAAAGCGTTTACATTTTTTATTTACAAATTATTACTACCTTATGCATAAATATATTTCCTTTACTTGGTTTCCATGTATCCACGCTATTTTCATAAAATGTATTCCATTCTAAGATAATTTCATAATTCCATTAAAAAATAAAAAATCTTTGCAGACAAAATTTTGTTTTGTATAATTCCTACAATAGTGGTTATTCTGTTATTTAATGACCCAGTGGTTATACGTTCATCGGAACCATATAAAGTAAAGTAATTATAATAATTACTTTTTTTTCACAGCCCTGTATTCACCGGCAGTACGTATTTATTTATACGTATTTTATGTTTTATTGATACATAAAAATTAAAAACGGCAGAACAAGATCGAATAGTGTAAACGCAATCGTTTTTCGTGTATCAAACGATGTTCTATTCTGTTAGCTAACAAAATTAAACAATTTAAAAAAAAATTCAGCATATAAAGAATTGTGTAAACTTCTAAATACATTTTTATAAATTGTACAATCACAATTAACTAAATAACACGTAACACGTGGCTGTAAAAAATTTGATGGCCAATAATAATAATTTAAAAATAACAATACATAATAAGTATAAGGTATGTACATGTGTAGAAAAACAACACGTACAAGAAAATATATACTTTGAGCTTTCTAAAAATTAAAAAATTAACAATAAATTACATGAACTACGCTCATGTGTTGAAGTTTGCAAATAATTTTTACAATTCTTAATTCCGTGTAGGCTGTAAAAACGATAAAATAAAAGAGGTGATAAAAATTTGACTGGCCTTCAAAGTTTTGAAAAATGCGATAGGACGAATTCAAAAATTATGGAATATGAATTCTACGAGTAAAACAAAAATTAATAACCAAATCAAGTGCTTTTGAATAAGTAAAACCATTTTTCGAATGTCTTGGGCAAAAAAATATTGAACTGTCAAATTTTTAAATTTAGTAATCAACATTTGTTTTAATTTGTTTAAATAATTTGTTATAAACGGAAAAACCGATCGAATTTTTTTTTTTTTAATTGCGTTTGATAATCTTGAAAATTCATGTAGAGTTTTGTAATATCCTGTGACCCAACTTTTCATTCAAGTTTTCAATGAAATCACTATACTTCAAAAACAACTGAACAACATCTTAAAACAGTTTCGACACAAATTTGCTATATTCAAATAAATTTATAAAATTTCAGGCATGCAGTGCTGTTTAGATTTTGTTGTAGTGCAAATCTGTAATTTTATTACTCTAATAAAATTGTGCTAATGTGCAAATTTAAAGTGGTAAAATTTGTAGTTCTAAATTATCATACAGAGAAAATATGTCGTTGAAAAAAAAATATATAAGAATTTCTTGATTTTGGTTCTAAATAAAACGAAAATCATCAAATATATTTTTTTAGAAAAAACATTTTTTTTGGAAAACAAAAGATTTTTTCTGGCCTGGAATAGGCTATGCGCCTTGTAATTGGCGAAGACGGCGTCCACAGGCCGTGACGACGACTACTGAGGACATCCTTCTGGGTCAAAACATGAAAAATGTAAAATGTGCGTATTTTACGAACCGGGTGCGATAACAATGAGGATGGTTGCGTGCAGTATCATGCTGTCATGACAGAATCCTTTTCGCTACTGGTTCCAGTGGGCCGGTAGCCGCCGGTTTGCCAGCCGCGCGCCTGCTCGTCGCCACCCCAAGCCCTTCCCCACAACGTGGGTTTATTTGTTTAAACCACACTAAAGTGCATTTAGACAATACTGACTTATTGAATTTCTATAAATCCGACACACATTTGATTGCCTTTTTGTCATCTTTTTGTCAAAATTTCACCTGATAGAGTATTTGTAACAAATTACGTTTTATCGGAACTAAATTATGTCTGATATAATTAATGATTAACATTTAATAGTTGTATATTAAAAGATTATATTAATAGACTATCAGGGATTAGGCCAATTTGAAAGAAAAATCTCAGTTCCTTCGTTAGATAAATCACTTTTATCGACTCTACGAAATTATAATTAAAGAACGACTTATCGTCCAACTACCCTGCTGTGGTGAAACCACTTCACCATACATTTTTCAAACTATAATTAATTAAAATACCATGGGCTTGGCTGAGATTCGAACTCAGAACCACTAGTGAGACGTAAATACGCATCGAACGTACTTAACCCTCAAAATTTTAATTATTAATTTATGAAACTAGCACCTTATAATCACAATTACAAAAAATATGATCTTAACTATTAATTCAATTAAAAATCGAATCGACGTAGGTAGAGATCAAACACGAAATGTCCATTTTATAACGAGCACACACAAACACGTACACAAATTACGCTGCAAGATTGATGGATAGATCCTACAAACGTCTTACGAGTCACCTAATAATTTTTTATATTCGTGTGTCGACCATGTATGGAGATTTTAAACACAGTTAAAGTTTAAATTGAAAAGTTGAACAGATTTGTGCAACAGTTTATTTCCTGTTCAACATGAAATTGAAAAGTGTCAATTTATTGCTATTTACGGTTGTTTCTTTGTTATTATTATTATTTATATGAAAGACCCGATGGCCCAGAGGTCTATGTATACAATAAATGACGGATTTTTATATATTTATATATGTGTACGTGCGCGTGCG